GCTTGAGCGGCCTGGGACACGAGGAAATGGAAGCTCACGTCTGCGCCGCGATCGCGGCCATCTACACGAAGCAGCAGGCCAAACGCATGCACGGCCAGGCACCCAAGGGCTCTCTTGAGAAGAGGGGCAGGAGCTCCTGACCCAGCTTGGAATGGACAGGCAATGACTCCGGCCGCGTCTGCCATCCCAGGCCTGACAGAATCATGCGTTTTTGCAGGCTGCCACGCCCCCCTCCGCTGCTTGCCTGCTTTCTCCTCCCCTTCCTCGCCTCTATTCCGCGGTTTCTGCTGTTGCGTCTCCTCTTCTTCTGGCTCCGCGGCCTCTCTCGCTCCTCTCGCCCGTCGTCCCGCGCTCCTGCTGTCGTCTCCCTTCCGTCCTCGTGGGGCGTGGCAAAAAGCAGTGTTTTTAAACAAAACACTATCTTCCATACGTACACGCACAAGGGTCATTCCATGCATCGCTCCAGATTGAGCGGCCAACCCGCCCCGCATGGCAGCCTCCAGCGAGTCCGCAGCAGCGGCGCGGGCGCAGTCGGCAGCTGGCCGGGCCCTTTCTCTCTCCCCTACCCCCTCCATCCCCATCCCTCTCCCGCCCCTGGCAGGCTGCGAGGCGTCCACCCAAGAGTGGTTATTTGTAATAACCAGGCTTGCCTGAGATTCTCGCCGCGCAGAAGAGCCGAGCCGAGCCTCCTCCTCCACCTCCTCCTCCTCCTCCTCCTCCTCATCCTCCTGTTCTTCCTCCTCCTCTTCATCATCCTCCTCCTCCTACTACTCTTCCTCCTGTTCCTCCTCCTCCTCCTTCGCGCTGTGCAGCGGTTGTTGTGTGTTGGGACCATTGCCCCTTGCAGCAGTTTTCGTTTTGCGTGAAGAGGTAGCCAGGGACCCCAACGCGACGAGCCGAAGGTGCGTCCAGTTGCTGCTCGGGGAGACCCTCCGATCCGGGCCTTCCGCACAGAGCAGCTGCACCAGTAACAAGTCATTGTGGTGGGGCGCCCCACGGCGCCTCCCTCACCCCAGCCCGCCACACTACCGCATCCCAAGCCCGATTCCCCCCGACCACCACCAACACCACCACCACCAGCAACAACCACAACAACCGCAACAGCAACAGCAACAGCAGCAGCAGCCGCAACAGCGACAACAACAACCACCACAACCACAAAAACAACAACAACAACAACAACAACAATAACAATAACAACAACACAACGACGACGACGACGACGACGACGACGACGACGACGACAACAACAACAAGAGAAACAACAACAACAACAACAACAACAACAACGACGACGACGACGACAACAACAACAACAACCACAACAACAACAACAGCAGCAGCAACAACAGCAACAGATATAACAGCAG